AAGCACAGGCATTCTGAACCACCTGTAGACGGTTCAGGGAGGTTCTGCTCAGACACGTGAAAAGAGAGTTACAGTAGTCTAAGCGTGAGGAGATGAAGGTGTGGATAACTGACTCAAGTTCAGAGCGGGACAGAATGGGACTCAGCTTAGCAATGTTCCTGAGATGGAAGAAGCAAGAGCCAACAAGAGAATTGACATGAGAATCCAGGGTGAGAGCTCAGCTGGGTCAAAGGTCACACCAAGATTCCTGACAGAAGGTTTGTTGTGAGAAGCAAGCTGACCAAGAGAGTCTCTGACTTTGGGAACCAGCTTGTCTGGGGCACAGATGAGGATCTCAGTCTTATCTTCATTCAGCTGAAGAAAGCTCCCAGCCATCCAGGTTTTGATAGAGTCTAAGCAGGTGTGTAAAAGCTGTAGCTTAGACATCTCATGGGGCTTAAAGGAGATGTACAGTTGGATGTCATCTGCATAAAGATGGTAGGAGATTCCTTTGAAGGAGCTCAGGATGTGCTGAAGAGGAAGCAGATAGAGGAGGAGGAGCAGAGGCCCCAGCACAGAACCTTGTGGGACACCATGGGTAAGAGAGGTGGTGGAGGACCTAAACTTGGAGACGGCCACAGAAAAGGAGCGCTCATCAAATACTGGCCGTTTACCATTCTTCTACTAGCTTCTTCTCATGCTGGTATTTCTGTCAGATCTGTACTATTCTGGCTCCAGCATTACTTCTTTCATTAGAATTCTCCTTTTTGTCATTATTATTATTATTATTATTATTATTATTATCATTATTATTATCATTATCATCATCATTATTATCATTATTATCATCATCATTATTATTATTATCATCATCATTATTATTATAATCATTATTATTATTATTATCATTATTATTATTATCATCATTTTTGTCATCATCATTATTATTATTATGATTATTGTTATTATCATCATCATCAACATTATTATTATCATGATTATCATCATGATTATTATTATATTATTATTATCATCATCATTATTATCAGGATTATTATTATTATCATTATTATTATTTTTATCATTATTATTATCATCATTATTATTATCATAATTATTATTATTATTATCATTATTATTATCATTATTATTATCATCATCATTATTATCAGTATTATTATCATTATTATTATTATTATCATTATTATTATCATCATTATTATCAGTATTATTATCATTATTATTATTATCATTATTATTATTATTATTGATCTTTTTAAAAAAAAATTGTTTCATATGACGTGCCTCTTGATTTTGTGATCTTCATATAAAAATCTCTTCTATTGGCTAATTCAGCAGGTCTGACGGCACAATTACAAAATCCCAGGGTGTCCTGGTGCCATGTGCATGTATGGACTTCTCTGTTAAAGCATGGAGACACCATGGAGGTCCATGCATCACCTACATGGCGCTGAAGTTCCTCAGTAAGGCTGCTGGGACGCTTCACTTCACTAAAGCCAGTATCAGCAGACTGCCAAGGCCTCAACCTGGGACTTGAGCCCAGGTACCTGGTGGCTTCTCCTGGAGCCTGTGAGAGGCTCCGTTGGGCTGTGCATGGTAGGAACCTGTCTGTCCTCCACCCAGGTAGGTCTTCCCCAAGACTGAGGCCCAGGTGGCCCTGGGCCAGGCAGTGGGACTTGGTCCCTGCAGATGAAGCTGAAACTCGTCAGCAAGAAGGTAAAAACAAATCTTCATGACTGTTCAGAAAAGAACCAATAATGGGATTGGAGAACCCACTCAGAAGGAACTTAACAAGGACAGGTCCCTGATTCTTACAGCCATTGTTAATGTTTTTAATTACAGCTTAATCCTCTCACTCAGAACCAGTTTGGGACTCTGCCAGCCTCAACATATGAGCGATGATGGCAGAGGAAGTAAGTGCCCACAATGAGAAAGTATCGTCATCAAGTCATTACTGGAGTAAGAAGATAAATTCACAAACAAGACCTTAAAGAATCTGTGCTCTTTGATGGCTGAGGCATCCTCCGGTCCAGCTCCTAACCTCAGGTCCGGATTCTTCTGGAGCAGCTGGAAAATAGATCAGAACACAATCAGAACACAAACTATTTGTATTTAAGCTCCATGAAGTAGTTCAATCACAACAAACCTCCTTAATGAGAGACGCCGACTCCGGAGAGAGGAAGCGTGGGTATCGGACTTCGTCATTTACAATGCTGTCAAACACCTCCTCCTCATCATCACCAGGAAATGGTGACTGGAAACCAGCATCACAAACTGCATCAGTTCACATTGAAATAACAAACCAAGACTCCAGTTTGGGTGACGTGGTTCGTACAGACCTCCCCCACCAGCATCTCGTACAGGAGGACGCCCAGACCCCACCAGTCCACACTGCGAGTATAGCTGTCCTCTGTCAGAATCTCTGGAGCTAGAAACTCAGGTGTTCCACAGAAGGTGGAGGTGCGATCACCATGGCCCATTCCTGGACATGGAGAGGTTCACTGATACAGTTCAGAAAGAAGTACAGGCTATAGGGAGCCTAACCCCGGCTTTCCACGGGAGCCGTCAGCAGCGCGAGTCGGCCGAGTCTCAGGAGCAGCATGTCGCGGCCTTTACGCGCCGGTTCTATTTTCTACGCGCGACGCCTCTGAAATGGGTCAAGTTCGACATTTTTGGGGAAGGAAAGACAGGAAATCGGACGCGGAAATGGAGAGAAGCTCCCGAGATTTTCAGAATAAAGAACGTACTGTTTTCCGGTTGCTTTACTTTTAAAAAAGGTTACTAACTGTGCGTCCCCGTGAGAAGTTATCACCTAGCTAGCGGTCTCCTTTGTTTTTCAGGTCCGTATTGGCGATTATAAAACGGACAGAACATAAAACACAAACCATGTTGTAATTTTCTCCTGCTTGTTGTTGTGTTTACTGACGAAGTCACTCGTGTGACTTCGTGCTCTGTCGGTGACAGCTGCTCCCCTGCTGCTTCGCGTCTCGTGGGAAGGGCCAAGCAGCAGCTTACGCGAGCAAGACGTGCTGCTGCAGTAACGTGCTGCTGACGGCTCCTGTGGAAACCCGGGGTAAGTCTCTTTCTGGTCGGCTCATGGGTCCCTGAACAGGGCTGAAAGAGCTATTTTCTAATCCGCTTTGCTGGATATGTTGTATTTCAATTTAAATGAAAAGTTATCTGTGTTTCGACCACGCCAGTCACGTACTTTGAGATTTATCAGCTTGTAAATAATCGTAATTAGCATGACTATAAAAAACGGGATTAGAAAATAGAGTTTTTAGCCCTGTTGACTTGCATTCATTTTTTCGTTCTTACAGGGACACATGGTCCGGAAGTAGATGGGCGTGGCTCCCTACAGACAGAAAGTACTGGTTCCAGACAGGAAGTGCAGGTTGAAGGCAGGAGGTAAATTTTACAGACGACAGACATTGACCTAATTCCAATACTCACACTTGCACATTTCAATTGTGCAATCCTGGCGAGGGGTGCAAGTGCATAGGGTAGGGCTGCAACAACAAATCGATAAAATCATGATGATTCGTTGGGTTGTGCAACTTTTTTTTCGGGGTGACGGTGACACAGGAGTTAAGTGCTCGCCCCGTAATCGGAAGGTTGCAGGTTCGAGCCCCACTCAGTTTGTCGCTGCTGTTGTGTCTTTGGGCAAGGCACTTAACCCAAGTTGCCAGATGGTGGTGGTCAGAGCGACCAGTGGCGCCAGCGCTCGACAGCCTCGCCCCGAGCGCCCCAGGGCAGCTGTGGCTACATCGTAGCTCATCCCCACCAGTGTGTGAATGTGTGTGTGAATGGGTGAACGACCGATTGTGTTGTAAAGTGCCTTGGGGGATTCCAGAACTCTATAAGGCACTATATCAAATACAGGCCATTTACCATTTATTTCATTTCGTGAAACCTTTATTTAACAGGCAATGTGCGCAGCTCATCTGTAGTCCGGGGTTTTAATAACATTTCATTGGCAAATGATTCCAGAGACTTTGTTATTTTGGTGTTGTTGGACCTATCGGCTGCATTCGATACTGTTGATTATTCTTTCCTGAATTCTAGGATGAAACATTTTGTGGGTGTTCGTGCTGGATTGGTTTGTGTTGTACCTGACTGACAGGACCTTCAGTGTCTCACTGGGGGATTTTACTTCCTCTAATGCCTCATTCTCTTGTGGGGTTCCCCAGGGTTCTGTGTTGGGCCCATAGTGGTTTTCTTTGTATCTGCTACCTCTTGGTTTGATTTTTAAGAAACATGGGTGTCACTTTCACTGCTATGCAGATGATACCCAGGTATACGTGCCTTTTAAGAAGGGCCACAATCATGCTTTGCACTCTTCTCTTTTACACTGTCTCGTTGAGGTTAGACAATGGATGTTCTCTAACTTCCTTCACTTTAATGATAAAAAGACAGAGGTTGTAGTTTTTGGTCCAAGTACTTTGACTAGGGTAGGTGCAGTTCACCTCGGTCAGCTCGCTCCATTCTTGAAACTGAGTGTGACTTCTCTGGGTGTTGTACTGGTTGGGGATCTTGTCTTGGACAGGCAAATCAGTGTGCTGACTAAATCTAGTTTTTATCAATTAAGAAGGATCACCAAGGTGAAGACCTTGCTGTCAAAAAAGGATTTTGAAACAGTAATCCGTGTTTTTATTACATCAAGGCTTGATTACTGTAATTCTTTGTACCTCGGTGTTTCACAAGCCCACCTCTCGAGTCTTCAGTTGGTGCAGAATGCTGCTGCACGGCTGTTCACTGGGATGAAAAAGATGGAGCATGTTACTCCTGTCCTGGCCTCGCTACACTGGTTGCCTGTTCATTTTAGAGTCCAGTACAAGGTGCTTTTATGGGCTTTTACATCTCTGCATGGCTTTGCTCCAGATTACCTCTCTGAGCTACTGGTTCTTTACTCCCCTGCACGGTCTCTGATGGGCTGATGGGACGCTCCTGGAAGTCCCAAAAACCAGACGTAAGCTCAGAGGTGACAGGGCTTCTCTCAAGCGGCCCCTAGGATCTGGGATGAGCTGCCTTTGAGCGTTAGGTCGGCCTCTTCACCGTCTGGTTTTAAATCTCTTTTGAAAACCTATTTTTATGATTTGGTTTTTAACTCAGCATGAGAGTCTTTTAGTGTTAGTTCTTGAGCTTTAGTCTTTATGCATTTTTATGTTGTGTATGGATTTTAATGGTTTAATTTGTGTGAAGCCCCGTGGTCGGTTTTATACTGTTGTAAGGTGCTACACAAATGAAGCTGCCTTGCCTAGGCAGCAGCAGAGCAGACCGAGAGAGAAAACCGGTGTTTGGATCAGGAACAACACACTTGGAACACGGTAGAAGCAGCAAGACCTAAGAAAACGTTTAGAAGCACTTAATGTTAAACCATGCAAAGACCATTGTCACCTGCGACATACAGGTGCAGGTGACAATGTGCCACACCATGTAAATCAGACATGGCATGGCACGCATGTTGGAGCCATCGACGAGGAAGGGGGAAGCTCAGCGTCTCGGTAAATTGTGAAAAACTTTTACTTTTTATGGAGTAATTCACCTGTAGGCCCACATTAATGAAAACCATAAACCAGGGCTCTACTTATATGCCGCACACGCGATGAGAAAAACTATAATACAACTCTATCGCGGTCGTGCGTATGCTCAGGGGCCCCACGACCTTCAGATACATCATTATCCATAATAGAAAAATAGTAATAAATAGATTTTTATAAACTATATTTTTGTGTCTGTGTCAGATTATTATAACGTTTTGTTTCCCTGGATTAACCAGCAATCCAATATTAAAGGTTCAATAATCTTGATAATCCATGTTTTATGGAATATTACATTTTCAGTCATATTCTATTGACAAACACACAACCACCTCATAGATGAAAATGGATCAGGATAATCAGGTAAACGGTCATAAAACCCTTCCACCCGCCATCATCCTTCCTGCCATCGGTCGTCTGCCCTCAGCAGCTGAAGGATGCACCGTGGCACCCCCACCCCCCAAGCTACAAACCCGGACACACGAGCAGAAAACTACAAACATCCTCATTTTGGCTCCTGCACCCGCTCCCACGTATTTACAACCAATTTCTGTGGTTACAAAGTCGCCAATATTTTCCAACAACTGGGCATCATTTCATACATTTTCAACAACAAGGGATGTGTTTTTCCAGAGAATGATGGTAAAAACTACACATGGTCTCCCTAAGAAAGAAAGAAAACCATCTTGTCTACAGCGCCTCTCCAGAGGAAAATCACCAGGCGCTTCGTGAGAACATATATTAAAAAGATTGTTAAAAATATGAGATGTTACCAGCAGGAAGTCACAGGAAGTGTGTTACAGGCAGGAAACACGCGGAGCACGTTTGGAGGTTTTAAACAGGCAGAAAGAAAACGAGTCTTTGAGGCTAAGAGACACGAAAATTCAAACCAACCTTCTTTGCACAAACCAAAGTCGGCAATTCTAATGAATCCATCAGAGTCCATGATCAGATTATCCAACTTCAGGTCCCTGATTAACAGAAGACATCATGTAGCAGAACCACAACCAGTGTAAGCCCAGCTCTGAAGTGACCCACCTGTAGACAATCTTGTTCTGATGGAGGAACTCCAGACCAAGCAGCACACAGGAGCAGTAAAACCTGCAAACGAAGCAGGTGTTGTAGTGAGAGGCTGAACCAGACGGTGTTCTGGAGGTGCAGCGCTCAGCTCACCGGGCCTGTTTCTCGGTGAAGATGCTCGTGTGGATGTGCTTCATTAGGTCTCCTCCTGGAGAGTAGGCCATCACAAAGCAGACGTGCTCATCGGTCTGGAAGCAGCCATGCAGGTTGACCAGGAACGGGTGGCGGGCCGCGTTGATCACTTCAAAGATGCGCTTTTCACACCTGAGGCTGAACACATCCAGACCAGAAGTGTCAGATGAAACATCTGAAGGAACATCTGCTGTAGCATGTTGAGCCCCCGGCTGAAGCCTTGGGCCCGGTTCACATGAACAGAACACTGCGGTTCTGGTGACTTTTAATATTTTACCCTTTTTTAGCTGCGGGAACAGCTGCGGGAACGACTGCGAGAACAGCTTTGGGAACATCTGAGGGAACAACTGCAGGAACAACTGCGGGAACCGTTGTGGGAACTACTGCAGGAACAGCTGAGGGAAGGGCTGCGAGAACAACTGCAGGAAAAGTTGTGGGAACTGCTGCGGGAACAGCTGTGGGAACAGCTGCAGGAACAGCAGAGGGAACAGCTGAGGGAAGGGCTGCGAGAACAACTGCAGGAAAAGTTGTGGGAACTGCTGCAGGAACAGTTGTGGGAACTGCTGCGGGAACAGCTGAGGAAACAGCTTCGGGAACAGCTGTGGGAACAGCTGCAGGAACAGCTGAGGGAACCACTGCAGGAACAGCTGAGGGAACCACTGCAGGAACAGCTGAGGGAACCACTGCGGGAACAGCTGAGGGAACCACTGCAGGAACAGCTGAGGGAACCACTGCGGGAACAGCTGAGGGAACCACTGCAGGAACAGCTGAGGGAACCACTGCGGGAACAGCTGTGGGAACTGCTGCAGGAACAGCTGAGGGAACAGCATGCCTTTTGGCGTGCTTTCTGAAACAGATACCAACTGGACTCATGCTATAGTGTGGCCCTCTGAAGCAGACATCGCTGACATGTTACTCCAGCTACAAAAATTCAACGTTACCAAGACAGAAGTCTCAGGTGTCCGCCGCAGGGGGGACACGTCTCCTCACTGAGTTCTTCTCTGTTGCTAATGCAATTGGTTCTATCTTTTACTTCTCAGTCGTTAATTCCATTGACGTTGGCGTTGTCAAACATCACGTCACCAAGCTGGAAGGGGAAGTCCCTCCCCCCGATCGCACGTGTTACAGACTGCTGCAGTTATCGTTGGTCGGCGCTGGTGAGTCAGTACCCCCACGCTCAAAGCCAGCGTTTACTATGATCGCCACTTGTCCACTCAGGTTGAGCTGCCATCCCAGACTCTGGGGGGTCAGGCTCTCGTGGTGAGGTCTCTACATGACTTGGATCCAGATGAACACGGGTCTGTTGTAGAGTTTTCTCCTCCTGTGCTCTGTGCCCCACTACAGTGTTGAATGTTTAACTACTATTATACTTATTTACTCTAATATCAGTGATTGATTCTACATTGTAATCTTATGTGTATGCTTTTATTCTAGTATTGATTATTGGTGATTATTAGCCTGGTATACGTTTGGCGTCATCATACCTGGTGGAGAAACAACCCACCTGTCGACTTCGTCTCGGCTCAGGATGTCTCCTTTCTTCAAAGCTTTGAGAGCAAACAGTTTCCCTGACTCCTTATGCTCCGCCAGCAGAACCTTCAGAGTCAGAAGGTTAGTTTCCACCATTTGGAGATGGTCAGCCCAAGGTGTTGCAGATGTTACCTTCCCAAAGTGACCTCTTCCAAGAACCGCTATACACTCAAAGTCCTCCATCTTCAGATCCTCATTTCTCCTGCAGACAAAATTAATCACAACCAACTGGATCAGAGCAGCACTGATGTCCCTCTGAAGACAGATACAGAGGCATGCTCGCTCCTTCCCTCCCCCTTCTTCACTTCAAGAGCAAGTCACCCCCAAATCAACTATTTTTTTCTGATAAACTATATAAATGCGTGTCTAATCGTGCTGTAGACACGTGTAGTCAATAGTTTTGCACTTTAGTGCATTTTAGTTAAAATTGAAATTTTCTGCCTGAAACTGTCAGTGTTGTGCCGTTGTCAGGTAAAAACTCTGCACTGCATTTGAATTTAAATCTGCCACCGCTATTGGCTAAGAGGTATGCTATGATGTAAACTGGTACATTATGATGTCACAATGTCGTGAGTGTGTGTATTTGTTAGCGGCTCCACCCTCTCGGTCTGCTAGGCAACAGCATTTGTTGCATTTTTGAAACAGGAAGTGGGAGTGAAGTACGCTTCTTGTAAGGGGTGACTTGCTCTTTAACCTACGAATGGGCCTGCCAAGAGGTGGCTGCACGTCCACAGTCAGCCTGTATCTACCGTACTGACCCGAATATCGGACGACCCGCTTTCTAAGATCAATCTTCAGGAAAAGAGGAAAAAAATCACTTTTTAAATAAACTTTTTTTGTAAACTTGATAAAAAAACTGAGCAGAAACACTATTTTAATGCAAACTATCAGACGTTTGCTGACGTGTGAACTCAAAAGTCTAATGAGGCTTTTATTCAGACGTCTCTGCCTCGCTGTCCTCTCATGCTGCTGCGGTCCCGGTGCACCATCAGACCGCTACGCCTGCCGGCTCCTCCAACAGCAACATCCACGCATGCCACGTTTGACGCCTCTGCCGAATTGTCCACCATCATCTTACAATCAGCATCATAACTGTGCCTTGGTAAGAAGCTCGTTAACTCCCCCACTTTCGGTGCACTCCACTCCGGACCTCTCTCTTCTCCTGCTGAGAACACGCAGCCTGGCGACCCCTGCTGGTACGGGCGTGTAACGACCCCGGACAAATACTCAGACCCCGATTGTAAGACGACGCCACATTTAAAATGATTTTCAGTGATAAAACCTGGTCCTATGTTCGGGTCAGTTATAGGATTGCTACTGGAAAGGTTGTACGGTGTAATGTCAAAGGTCATCATTACACTGTCCAGCCTCCACTTGACTGGTGTGCTCCAAACTAAAACAGATGCTCCGTCTACAACCACCTCTCCATGAGCCAGCCTTGGCCGGAGGAACCGCCAGAACAACGTTCCTCTCCTGCTTCCTTACCTCTGCTGCAAGTAGACGTCTACAGGAGAGGACTGACCTCTTCAGCTTAATAAACAACCCACGGCCAACATCAGACAGATTTAAAATCAGGCGTATTAAAGCAAATCATGGACATGGATGAATGGGTGAATGCTGATGCCATCATCTGGGAACTTAAATATTAACCTGCCCTGTAATGCACTCGCGAACCCCTAGGGGCCCGCGTACCCCTGGCTGGGAATCGCTGGTCCAGA